TAAATATTTAGGTCACCCACATATTTAGTTTACTACCTAAATATTAAATTTCTAAGCTAAACATTTAATTCCTAAACTAAATATTTAATTTGCTAACTAAATATTTAGCTTGGACCTAAATATATATTTTACAAACTAAACATTTAATTTCCAAAATAAACATTTAATTTGTTAACTAAATATTTATCTCAGACCAAAGTATTTAACTTGCTAGTTAAATATTTAACTTGCTAGCTAAATATTTAACTTCCTAGTTAAATTTAAAAAATCAATTTATCTTGCTAGTTAAATATTTACGTCAGAACTAAATATTTAGTTGCAAATTAAATATTTAGTTTAGGAATTAAATATTTAGCTTAGACTAAATACTAACTAAATATTTAGGTATAAATTAATATTTAATTTACACCTAAATATTTAATTTACACCTAAATATTTAGTTTACTAACTAAATATTTAATTTCTAAGCTAAACATTTAATTCCTAAACTAAATATTTATCTTGTAAAATAAATATTTAGTTGAGAACTATGACATTTATAAATGTATGAATAACATGGTGAAAATATGACTTTGAAAAACAACAACTATACTTTTTTTATTAAAAGCTAAATAAACCAAAAATATTGATGTTAATTTTTAACTGTGCAACTTCACAAACGGCACCCCATAGTTGTGAGCTGCAAAAAATGAATGCTTTTTTAAAATCTAAAAATCACATTTTCGTGGCGTGCGAGTATTTCCATTTTGACAGTTTTGGCCCCCACATGAAAAAGTTTGGACACCCCTGGTCTATAGTTCAACGGCTGATAGATTTACCTGCAGCACTGCGTCAGAGGTGCCAGAATGGACGGCTCATCCTGAGAGTGACGACCAAACCTGGAAAATAGCAGCAAACAGCAGATTGAGAGCAACATAAACACAAAGTTATTTTGATCACCGAGTAGCAGGTTAGGTTTAACAACTAAACTGTAGCAGTCCATAAAGGAGCTTACCTGGCCCTTATCCAGTATATACCCAGGCAAGCACCTGGGTTATATGAGGCAGTATTGCTGATAATTTAAATGTAATCTACTCACGCTCGTCCATTGTCTAAATGAAGTAGAAAAGTCTCATTTCCAAATTTCTCAAAAGTCTCATAATGATGACGGTCCATGTTGCCTTTGAATGAAAAACACGAGTATTTCACTCACTTTTCATCAAAGTGCATATTAACAATTAAAACTCTGGCATTGTTTTTACATTACTACGATCAAATATTTACTTCAGGATAAAAGTAGAGGTAAACATTAAGTTCCAAATAAATAACTGAAATAACGAACTCATGAGGAAGTCCAGAACCGCCATGTCTATGAGATCCACCAGCCTGGTGGCGGTGTTGTAAGGAGGCGTCTGTTTCACCGTGTTGCAGTAGGCTGGGTCCTTTTCCCACCTACAGAAAACAGTGACGGGACGTTCAGGTAAAGAAACTATATGGTTCGCATGAATATAATTTATTTTTAACCTCATCTAGGTCCTAAAGAACTCTCTGGAAATAATTTCCTTATTCATATATTCACACAGTCCTGCAGCACATTCTCAGTTCCCAAAAACTTGTGATGTTAAATAGAAGTAAAAGCAGAATGCACTGATTTGAAAATCACATAAATCTTATTTTATTTGCAATACATTTAATTGTTTATGTTATATTGTATGTACTTTTATTTGCAATATATAACAAATGTTTAAACTAAGAATTTGTACCATTCTTAAGAAAGAACAAGGTAATTGTGAATGTAATGGCAGCAAAACATCTTAAAAAGATTTACCACTCATGCTAATTATCATGTTAAAAAAAAAGTTTATTCAAAATTAAGTACTTTGTGTGTATCTGAGGTCAATATGGGACTTTTTTCTCAGTTGTTTTTTTCAGGGGGTTACCAGATCTTGTCAGGGTCCATTGCAACAGAACTTAAAAAACTCGAAAGCTTTGGACAACACAAACTCTTTCTCGAGGCTCTTTGTCATAAATCTAAATTAAAAGCAGGTCATGACAATGACCAGCCACACCACAGTATCAATAACAATGGTCTCAGCTAATTGTTGGTATACTTCAACTTTTAATCGCCAAGTTCAAGGTTTTTTATTGTCATTCGCAACAACGTGGTACATGAGGTGGAACAAAAGTGTGCACTCAGGGTCCCAGTTACACCCAAAAATAGCAAAAATATAAAGCATAAAAAGAAACGGTATACAAGGATCTAAGATATATTGTTTATTTAACAGTATTTTGTTTGCCTAAATGCACAAAAACGGTTTTTATTGTGTGAAATCTTGTATCTTAGTTGTAACATGTGGCATGGAGGCTGCACAGCTGCAGAAAGAAAAGCTTTGCAGAGAGTGGTGAAGGCTGCACAGAAGATGTTGGAGTCAGCCTCCCCACCGTCACAGACATCTACGCCTCCAGATGCAGGAAGATTTCAATTATCATAAATTGCCCTTCAAATTACCAGAGTTCCATAAACAAGTGTTATTATACTGGAAAATGATCTACCTACATAATTACTCACCACACTCTACTATCATATGGAATAACAGATTCATACTATATCACAATAAGTCATTATTTTACAAAGACTGGATGGAGAAGAACATTTGGTCTGTTGTACACTTAATGGACGTTAATGGGTACATGTTAAACTATGAACAATTCTGTGCAAAGTATAAATTCTATCCCCCCAAAGTTGAATTTACCAAATTAATTAAAGCATTACCAAAACCCCACATTTTCCCAATCTATCTATTAATGGAATATCATTTACTGACAAAAAATTCAACTACCACACAACTAGAAGCTGTCTGAATGAAACCTTGTTCCCTGGGAAAATAAATAAAAATAACATACTTTGCAAATTTGACAAAAAAAAATCAATAGAAATGTTAAGAACTCTATATTTAAAACTCCCCATACAACCAAAGGCTAAAGAAACACACTTTAAAAATTTAAATGCAGTTGACCCTCCAAAGAGCTACTAAGAAATTGTTTTAATATTGATGACAATAAATGCTCATTCTGTGAACAGGATATAGAAACAATAGAGCATATCTTCTATGAATGCAACAAAACCAAAATATTCTGGAATCACTTAGAAAGATGGATCACACTGAAAATTACACTTCCTGAATCGATTTCCAGAGACATGGTAACATTTGGAGTATTATTGGAAAACAAAAAAATGGAACTTGGTTGTAATCTGATATTTTGACTGGCAAAATTCTTTATTCAGAAACACAGAGTGCTAAAATCATCCCCAGTCTTTAACATTTTTTTAATCTGAATTCCATCTATTTTTGAAATCTCTGAAATATATTGAAACACATGAAGACCTGTATGAAATGTTAATGGAATTGCCCACCAATGCATGTTAATCCTATTCCTAAAACATAAAACCCCTTGTTGTAGTTTATTTTATTTCTTTTCTCTTTCTTTCTTTCCTTTTTTTCGTATCGAAGTCTGCCTCTGTTATGCCCTTTTTAGAGTTACACTATTGTGAATTGCCATATTTGTTTGTACTTGTTTTTGCTAAAGTTTTCTTAAAAAAAAAAAAAAAACCCTCCAGATGCAGGAAGAGGGCCACCTGCATCATGAAGGACCCCACTCACCCAGCACACACACTTTTTGCCCCGCTCCCCTCAGGAAGGAGGTTGAGGAGCATTAAGCGTAGAACCACTAGACTGAGGAACAGCTTCTACCCTGAGGCTGTTAGACTCATGAGTCTCTAACCAGAAAAATCACTGTGAAAAATCACAGTAATATCACTTGGTTGTTGATATGTGCTGCTGATTATCCATGATGCTGCTGATTATTTCATGTCGCTGTGATCATTGGGCCTCGTCTGCTCACACAGACTCATGTTTGTGCTGCTCTTGTTCTGGCGCATTGTTTTTGTACCATTAGTTTAGTGAATGTAGTATATTCTAGGTTCATGACCCGGATCTTACTAACGTTTTTCTTTACAATTTGTGTTTTTGTTGGATGTAACTGGGACCCTGTGTACACAGTTTCGTTCCACCTCATGTACCACACGTGGCGTGTATGACAAATAAACCTCTCTGACTCTGAACTTACTTGATCGTAGCTTTTTGTTTTACACATTAGTAAAACTATTCAAACAGAACAGCAACACTCAGATACACATTTGGAATTGGGTTGCAATTCTTCTTTAATATCACTAGAGGGCAGTAAAAACTCATAACATGAAAGGTTGGACATCAATACAAGTTCAGTCCTTTTATCATCTTTGTATGCTGACTAATGCCATAGAACCATACTCCACTTCAGTTTCTATATGTTCTCCTACTGGTAAATAATTCACAACATGGATCAGTAGGCAAACCAAGTACTACCACAAAATACCAACAAGAAGATCTGCTGTTGCTTTCCTACCTAAACGAAGACTGCATACACTAAATACATTTTACTATGGTGCTGACTCAGTTGTTCTGAAAGAGGCTGAAATACACAAAGTGTACCCACTGTGCCTTCTTTGTTCGACTGTAAGAGCGTCTCCACGGCGACCTCCAGGACCTGCGGGGAGCTAGCGTGAGGTCAGGCAACATAGTAGCCAGGGAAACCTCCAGCGCATGTGGCCGACCGCAGACTGGGTTCTCTGTTGAACAGTAGTATTCACACTGGCCATAGAAACACACATTTCCAGCTAAAGGGAGTCAGGGAGAGATGACTTTCAGTGAAATCAGGGCTCTTTGTTGTAACTTTATTTGCATATGGGCATCCAAATACATACCAGGGGAAGTAAAGAAGGTTCTAGAGAGCTTTTTGTCAGTGGTAGTATCTCTGATCTCTGTGGTGACATTGATAAGTCGACCAACCACCGGAGGGATCCGGTTGAAGCCCAGTAATCTGAGATGGAGGACGAAAAATTAATTAAAGGTGGATACACTTACAGATGTTCCCAAAGACACTGGAGGAAAATGGTGGTGGAAAAAATAAGTTATCTTTTTAACTTCAATGATGTAATTTCTTTTAATTACATAATTTTCTTTCACGGGAACATTTTCATCTAATTCTCACAGCTATAAACACAGCTGAACTGGTATGGTAACTGCTAAACCTTTCTTTGGTTGTCATGCATCGCCCACCAGGACATTTGGACAGCTTTGTTGGCGAGATGGAAAAATCTGTTGTCCGCCGCTCCAGAACACGACTGTTCTCTTCGTTTTTCACTGGACTGTTCATTGATAGTAATAACTGCTGCCTTCCTGTTGCTCATCGACACAAACTTATAAAGTGTTGGGGGAAAAAAAGATCACAAAACACAAAAGTGATGTTTCTTAAAATCTTTGACCAGCACTTCATTCAATCACAGCAAACCCTCAGAATCCTATCTTTTACCCATTTTTACTTGGATGCTAGTTCAACATTGCTGTTCTCAGCTCCCATTCCTCAAAAGAAGCTAATGATGCAATGAGTTTTCTGTTTTTGTTGATGTCTTGACCATTTTCTGTTCTTTTATACCCAGTAACAATGTCATTTGAACTTTAATGCTACAGTGAGATTAGGGAATCTACAAGACACAAATGTAGCAGTCCTACTTCTGATGAGTGGAATATATTTCCATTATTACCCTCTTGATAAATAGCAAAACTCTATGTATATGAATAAAGAAGCTCAATTCATTACTGTTCTACTACCACGCTAAACAGTTGTTTCAGGTTTAGTACTGATAATGGCACTGTGCCTTATGTACATGTACACGCTGGGGAATCTCCATTCCCACTGACAAAAGCAACAATCAGTGGCCCCTCCAGTGAGATGTCCCTGGCTTGATCAAACCCTACTTTTTACAGTGTACACCACCTTCTTGTGCTCAGTCACCTGCATGCATGGCTTCTTATTTTAGATTCTGGGCTGCTGAGCAGCTCAAATGGTGCAGGAAGGTGAAAGACCTGCTCAAAGGCACAACGAGTAACCCTTTTGCAGTCCTTCTTTCTAGTTGGCCTGATTTTTTGTGTCTGAACTAGCGATACTGTAGTCATTTTGAAGGGCCTTAAGTGGGGCAAATGAGGATGGAGGCAGGTGTGGGCGCCCCAACGTTTCCACCCACATTTTGATGTTGTTGGTTCAGTGTTGAACTGGTGACCTTCCAGTCACAGGTTCGCCTTCTCGAGCCTCTGTGCCACCACTGCCCCTGTAAGTAGGTCCTATAGTAACGGCACCATTTAATAGTTAATTTGTATCCGAATGACTAAGTTTGACTCAGATACATGTACAGTAGTCCCTCGCTACTTCACGGCTCATTTATCACGGAGTCGCTCTAGCACGGTTTTTCAAAATAAGATTGGACATGACACACAACTGGCTGATTGATGGATGAGCCGCACGATCGGCATGACATTTTTATTTCAAATCAATTATTTTAAATGATTTTGCACCGTGTGTGAAGCCCACAAGTGCAGTAGAAAGCTCCCTCCTGCAGCTGATCAGCTGATCTCCTTCTATGTCATGCACACATTTCTCCTGCAGCAGCTTTGTGAAGAGTTAACCCTTTGCTGTCCAGATGCACCGATCGACTTTTGTCTTCCGACTAAAAATTCAAAGTAAATCGCATCGTAAAAATCACCATAATCACAAAATACAAACGTGTTAAAAGTTATTTTAAATTATTTTAGAACTTCTATGTTCAGTTGTTTCAGTGTAATTGATCAAGAAGAGCATTTCTGCTCCATGCTGCAGAGCTGCGTGAAGAGCTAACCCTTCGATGTCCTGCTGCGCTTCTCTTCTCTACAATTTAAATTGAAATACTGTAGTGTTTTTAAATAAACAATCCATGCTGCATGAATTGTTTATTTAAAATGTTACGGTATTTAAATTTAAATTGTTCATTTAAGGAGGGAGTAACAGGTGATGAGTGTGATTACAGCCCGGCACATGTCATGACAAAGTTTACTGAACTTGAACTGAACGTGAACTTTGACTACTGTTGGCAGTTTTTCACTTATCGCGGGTCTTCAAGGTACAAATCCCCCGCAATAAACGAGGGACTACTGTAGTGGATTTTCATGAATGCATCATTGTAGCCAAGTGACCTGTTGAGGATCCCAGGCTGCCTGCTAACAGTGTGTACAATCATTTGTACCTGTCAAGGTGGAAGGCAGCGATCTCTGCATTGTGCCTCTCAAAGTCCGAGAAGTAAAAAAGGTTCACGTCTGTCTCAGCATCTCTGGATTGTCTGTTTAACAAATACACATATAAAACTTAATAACTCTCAAGCGGTGTCAGAGTTTTTCCATCAGGGCGACGTGTCTTACCTCATGGGTTTGAGCAAAGCTTGTCCATAATTTGGGAACGACAGGAGCAGTTTCAGTTGGGTGCCTCCCTTTTTCTGAACTAACAGATACACATCAATTAAATACAGTCAAAAATAAACCCCAGACTCTTTTTTTTTTTGTTCTAGAGTTTTAGGTTTTAGGTATTTGGACAAAAATAAAACAGAGCTGGTCTGTGCAGGTTCAAAAACCATCCAAATCTACACCCTGATTTAAAAGCTCATCACTCTCAATGACAGTTACATAGTTGTTTCACTTGGTCACTAGCGTGGCCCAATATTTTTTTTTGCATATTCCATTGGAGTTTGCAGTCATTTGTTTCTTTACAGCTTTCACAAGTCCCACCACAGCATGTCAGTCAGGTTTAGGTCTGGATTTCAACAGGATAATTGTATCACCTTAATTTCTAATTTCTTTTAAGCCATTTACTGTATTTTTCAGACTATAAGGCACAGTGTTAATGAACGGGTCTGTTTTGAAACTAAAACATTTTGACATTGTCACGTTCAGATTTGGATTCAGAATAAGCCAGACAGAAATACAAAAGAACAGTTTTTATTTATTATTGGCTGTGGGTGAGAAGTCAGGATCAGCTGTGTTGACAGGTCTTCACAGGCAGGTGGAGAGTGAGAGTCACCTGTCAAGTTTGCAGCGATGACGTCACTGGTCCTGGTGCAGAGCAGCTGCAGAGAAAAGCTGCAATAATGTGGTTCAAGGGGCAAATCCAATAGTGGAGTCTGGTTGTTGAAGCAGGGGTCATGAACAGGAGGGCAGAGAGCAGAAACCAGAGCCAAGTTGTGATCTGTGAGACGTAGCCGTGATAATCAGAAACAGGGTCGATACCGTGGTCAGAAAGCAGAGTCCAAAACCAGATGAGGAGTAGGCAAAAACAGAGAATCCATAAGGCAAGTCATGAGGTCAAAAATCCAGAGAACAAGGCATGAACGACAGGTATGAACAGGAACAAGAATGGCTTGATATTAGTGACCATGGGAGGTATAATAATTTGGCAGGGACAGAGAGTGAGCATGGAACTTATATAGGGAGCTGAACAGCATGAAATGAAAGCTGATTGCTGTGCTCAGGCTGAGGGGGCGTGGTGAACGGTTGACTGACAGGAGCTGATGTGAGCAATGATGGGCGACAGGCAGAGCAAAACTGAGGAACAGAAAGATTGTCATGAGGGGCAACAACTTTGGCAGGAGGGACTGAGAGTGAGACAGGAAACGTGAACATGTTATGAAGGGGCAGAGCTGTGTAGAAACATGGCATGAGGAGCAGACGCATGAGTAGATAAGGGGTCAGCAGGGGGCTGCTGACCATTGCAAACATATTTTTGAGCATCACATAAAATAAGTTTGAGGTCAGTAAGCACAACTAGAATTAATACATAGGGCGCACTGGATTATAAGGCTCACTGTTGGTTTTTGAGAAAATTAAAGGATTTTAAGTGCGCCTTATAGTCTGAAAAATATGGTAGTTGTAAATTCAGTGCTGTGTTAGATATCATTGTTCTGTTTTATCATGACCTAGTTTGGTCCAAGCTTCACTTGTCAAACTGATGGCCTCACATTTGATTTTAGATTACTTTGGTAAACAGAAGAGTTCAACGTCGACTCAGTGACTGCGCGGTGTCAAAAAGCAAATCATCAACCATCCACCACCACGCTTGACTGTTGGCATGAGATGTTTGTGTCAATATGCATTGTTAGGTTCTCACCAAACATGGTGTTGTGCATTATGGATAAACATCTCTACTTTGCTCTCATCTGTCCAAAGGACATTGTTCCATAATTCGTGGGGTTCATGCAGATAAAATTGTCATGTTCTTTTTAGAGAGAAGATGCTTGGTCGTGGGAAACCTTTCCAAACAAACTTGTTTAGTCCTTTTCTATTTGCACTGCATGAACTTTAACCTTTAACCTGCTGACTGAGGCCAGTAGAGTCTGAGATGGACCTCTTGAGTTTCTCCCAATTCTCTGAGCAGTGCACAGTCTGACCTTAGGGTGAATTTACTGGGAGGTCCACTAATAGGAAGACCAGCATTTACCCTAAATGTTTTCCACATGTGTCTAATCTTATACACTGTAGAATAATGGACTCCAAATAGTTTGGAATTGACTTCCTAACCCTTCCCAGATTGATGAGCAGCATCAGTTTCTTCTCTGAAGTCACTGCTGATGTTAAAGGAATAAATAAATGATAGAGCAGAAAGAAGGCGGACTTTCTTTGACCCATGATTTGACTTTATAAAGATAAAGGGTACTGAAATGTAGAGTAGGATAAACAAAATGTCTTCCATGTTCACTGTTCCTGCTGTAAAGAGAACCACATGGATGTTGCATAAAGAATATTTCATACTGCTAAGGTGAGAACTGTGTGGACTTCATCCTACAGGCAGTAAAGCACATGTTTCTCCACATGGTGGCCCATTACATAACTGAGCATCCAACTGCTGCAGGACCCTCCATTCTGCTTTTTCCTGAGTAACAAAACTGTTTAGAATATTTTATGAAACTGGTTTTTATTGATTGGAGTTGGTCTGTCCAGAACCGTGGCTGAGGTCACTGAGGTCGTTAAAAAGCTCCGCGGCAGCAGGGCTCTGGGGAAAGACGAAATCCGCCCTGATTTCCTTAAGGCTCTGGATGTTGTGTGGCTGTCTTGACTGACATGCCTTTGTAATGTCGTGTGGGCATTGGGGGCAGTGCCACTGGATTGGCAGACTGGGGTGACGGTTCCCCTCTTCAAAATGGGGGAAAGGAGGGTGTGTTCCAATTACAGGGGCATCAGTCTCCTAAGCTTCCCTGGTAAGGTTTATTTTGGGGTACTGGAGAAGCAAGTCCAATCAGTGGTTGAACCTCAGATCCAGGAGGAACAATGTGGGTTCTGTCCTGGCCTTGGAACACTGGACCAGCTCTTTCCCCTCACTAGGGTCCTCCAGGGGTCACGGGAGTTTCTCCATCCAATCTACATGTGTTTTGTGGACTTGGAAGGCTTTCGACCGTGTTCCTCAGGGTACACTGTGGGTTGTGCTCCGTGAATATGGAATTGAGGGTCTGTTGTTACGGACTGGTCAGTTTGGTTCACATTGCTGGCAGTAAGTCGGACCCCTTCAGGATTAGAGTTGGACTCTGCCAGGGCTGCCCGTTGTCACTGATTCTGTTCATAACTCTTATGGACAGAATTTCAAGGTGCAGCCAGCGGGAGGGAGTCCAGTTAGGCGGCCTCAGGATTCCTTCTCTGCTCTTTGCAGATGATGTGATCCTGTTGGTGTCATTGTGCCATGATCCTCAGCTCTCATTGGAGCAGTTCACAGTTGAGTGTGAAGAGGCTGGGATGAGAATCAGCACCTCCAAATCTGAGGCCATGGTCCTCGGTTGGAAAAAAGTGGATTGCCCTTTCTAGGTTGGGATTGAGGTTCTGCCTCAAGTGGAGGAGTTCAAGTATTTCTGGTTTTATTCACGAGTGAGGGAAGAATGGAGCGTGAGCTTGGCAGACAAACTGGTGCAGCATCTGCAGTAATGTAGACTTTGTGCCGGTCCGTGGTGGTGAAGAGGAACTTGAACTGTAAGGCAAACCCCTCTGTTTACCGGTCGGTCTACTTTCAGGTGGTTCAGGCAAGGGTTCTCCCTCAGCGCCTCCCTAGGGAGGTACTTCGGGCATGTCCTACTGGGAGGAGACCCTGAGGAGACACAAGACACGTTGGAGAGACTACGTCTCTCAGTTGGTCTGGGAATGCTTTGGAGTCTTCCCAGAAGAGCTGGAAGAGGTGTCTGGGTTTCCCTGCTCAAGCTGCTGCCCCCACGACTTGACTCCAGAACAAGCAGAAGATAATGGATGGATGATTTTAACTGATGAATAAAAAGCTTTCTTATAACAAAAAAAAAACTGCTACGTATTATCCGTGCTCACCATTTAAATATTTGTCAACCTTCAACAATCTGACCTGTTTTAGTATAAATAGTAGCCTTGGAAATATTTTCACTACCAGTCCCTCACCTGAGCTCTGTACTTTGACTTTTTCCTTATTTTCTTTTGTTGCATCTTTTAGATGGGTAATATGCATTCTCTAAAGGAATGTGAAGCCTTTAAATTTATGTATGTGTATGCCATGACAGACAGATTAATAAAAGTATTTAATACAAATATTTAGCTGTAATTCACTTTGGCACTCCTGGTTCTGATTAAAACATCATACACTGGAAAGTTAAGTGTTAAACAAGAAGCAGGGGATGACACAGTGGGACATAAAATTCAGCCTGTTGCTGGGATTGATGCTTAATCTGCACGGCGTAATATAAATCTGAATGCATTATTTATGTGTATTGATTGTGTGCTGAGGACAGGAAGGTGCAAATACAAAATGAGTGCGTGGATGTTGACGAAAGAAACAAAACGTGGTTGTGTATTTAAAAAAAAAGGTGGTTATGTTTTTGCACAGATCTCAGCTACAGGCTGAGTTTTATGTGTTTTTCCAATATACGGTACATCTTTGAATGTGTGTGTGTTGTATAAGATTGATTTAGAACAAGTTACATTTATGCAACAACATCAACAAATAAAAAATGTTGGCTGCGACTTTCAGGTGTTGAATTATCAGAAACAGGACATTTTTCTGAGTTTATGATCGCTGTTTAACGATGTTTGATGTCATTGTCTTTGCATTCTCGTTATCTCACCTCCAAGAATTCAATTAACGCTTCACACACACACACGCACTCGCACGCACGCACGCACTCGCACGCACGCACGCACGCACGCACGCACGCACACACACACACACGTTCTTGGCTTTTCAATCATTTTCTCATCATCAGTTTGTAAATGAAACCACTTGTAGGAAGAAAACTGTTGGATCCACCTGGGCTTTAGTGTTCTGTGTACACATGCATTAGTTATTTCATCTGCATTAATTCAGTGAATATTGTGCCTGGCCTCTGGCTTTCTACCAGAACAACTTTCTTTGTTCTTGTTGCATTAAATTTAAAGTAAGAACAATACAATATTTTACTTTATCAGAATTGACAATAAAACCATTTACTAACATTCATGTTTGAGGAA